GTTTGGTCCTACAGGATAAATGTGCATCGACCGACTGCAGCATCGTTCGAGCTGCATCGAACTGCACGAAACATCGTTCGACCACGCGCGCGCACACATAAGCAACATTTGCCGTTATGTAGGAATAAATAAACCGATATTCCGGGAACGGAATTGCAAGAATTTCAGCCGGCGGTCAAATGACGCGCTGCAACGTGCATCGGCCAGGCCAAACTCGCTACCTCGTCTCTTTGTTCTCACCCTTCGTATTTCGTTCTTCACCCTGCACGTGTGCACCACCTGCACCCACCCCGTGAATGACTCTGTCATGGTGGACCGGATTTCGCGATTGTACGCGAATATCGGCTTTAGGGGTGAAGAATTCATCGACATCTAGCGATGGGATGGGGGGCAGATGTTTCGGATGTTAAGCACCGGGGAAATTCGATTCTAATTCTGGATACAGTCGTTCGCGAAGAAACGAAGATTTATAGTTTTTTCTACGGGATAGTATGTTCAGATTGTGATGATTATTTAGGACCACCCCCTAGCGGAAAGATATTCACAGCTAAATAATCGCGTAGTTCATATCGAGTATCATAAAAAAAAAGTTGATTGATCTGTCTTAATGGGAGTACACCGATTGAACACAGAGGCGAGGCGGTTGACAAATAACCGGAATTTGTCATCGCGAGAAAAAGTATTATAGACGGGAATCCAATCGATTCGTGACGGTCATTCTCTAAAATGCTTCCTAGATTACCGATCATTATTTACCCGGGGCCACGGGGTGTAAAAATGTACATCGAGGGGAAAAAAATGGTCGGATTTTAGCCTGTAAATTCTTCGCTGAAGAGAAACGATGGAAACGTTGTATAACCGGAACGAACCTATATATATCCGAGCTCCTTTCCATAAACCGATATTAAAATATTACAACATCTACACGGCACGGTTTTTGAATCTCTCCGCTTCAGCGCTCAGCCTTGCACCAGCGGTGCCCGTATAAACTTCGTCCTGAGAGGCGGCATTGTCAGTCGCAGCTGACAAGGCCAGCCGAAGCAACGAGCGGATTTGCATGCGATTCGGGGGAAAAAAAAGGAAAAAAATCAATTTCACGTAGCCAGTGTCGCGTTGCGCTTTTATTTTTCTATTTCGTTTGCTTTTTATTTTGCAGATAACGTCGACCGGTTTGATTCGAAGCTAGAGGTCGCGGCAAGGATCGCGCCCGGCTGGTTAATTTGAGTGGAAACGCTCGTTTCCATCGACACACACACACGTGCACGCGTATATACATATGTATGTACACGTACATACGTGTATCGACTGAACGATGCATTTTTTTAATACTCTTGGACGAACGAGTGTTATGGGTAAATAGATGAATACTGATATTCCGCGGCCGCACATGACGCGAGGAAGTAATCGTTTTCGGTTCCAAACGAACGACCGTAATTTTTGATATCGCAAAAACCTGTAATGGATTATCGCGTATTATCGATTCGCGATATTTGGGAGAAACAACGGGGTACGCCGTCAATTCCGTGAATGCAACGAGCGACGAATGAATTTGTCGAACTGAACCAAACGGCGCGGCACGGCGGACCATCGATGAAACGACAAATGTTTCATAATGCCTGGGAAACGGAAAAAGAGAGAGATTTTCCGGGTTGGCGGCTTCGAACGAGCGTTCCTCGATTGCTACAGAAATCGGACCGTAAAACGAATGTACCGTGAAATAACAGGCTGGCCGAGGAGAAGGTTTTTAAAACAGCTTAATTCCATTATTTAGCGAAAGCATAAACACACGACCCCGTGCGCTCGCGCCATTCACCATTGTTATTTCGAATACCACGCGGCAATGTATTTGAATTGGCATACCTAACGTGTGAACGAGAAACGTTCCAGCAACCCCGTCAATTATTTACGCGCGTATCTGGAAGGGCGCGTTTCCAGGAAAAAAAATTCACGGCGTAAGTTGAAATAGTAACAAGTTGGTTTACATTTTACGGGATCGAGGGATGTTTCGACGAGCCACGTTGCTACGTTATTATTCAACGACACCGAGACACAGTTTTCAGGCTCGATCGGCGAGCTTTCTTATTCCAGTACTCGTAGAATGTTCGCGAGGTAAGGTACAGCAACCTCGACCGTGTATATCCAGGAAACGCGACGGTTTACGAGATTAGGCCGACTAGAAGACGCAACGAAACTTTCCTCTTTCAAAACAATCCTGCTTTACTTTTTCCTGTCTTTCTACTCGGTTACCATCCTGCCACCCTTGCTCGTTCGTTGAAAAAAAAAAATGAAAGAAAAAAATGAAACAAAAGAGGAGAAAGCACCCGGTAGGCAAATAAATATGGCCGTGTGTATTCTTTGCCAAGGCATTGTGGTCGGCGAGGCGCAGTAAAATACGGCACTTTTATTATCCTATGAGTTTCAACGTGGCGCAACGCGGCCAGAATAAACTCTCGAGACGGGGTAAACTCTAGGGGTAAAACCTATACGAGGCGCGGCCCACGTTCAACCAGACGGGAGGATCTTCGGATCCCGTCCCTCCTATTTATCATACAAACTTTCCTTCATTTTTTAGCCGAAGTCACGATACCCTTCCGGGCTCGGAGGCCAACAGAAACGAGGATGAATTTGACGGAGAAACCCATCTATACACATGGGTATGCATGTCGTCTACTGTAACGGTGACGTTTGATCGCGAAGAATTTTTTGACGGTGACGTTCATAAAATGCTGTCGAGAAACTTTTTACTACTGTCGCGATGCTGACATCGCGAGACTACGATCGTAAAAGGCGAACTAAAAGGAAAATAAGAGGAAGATAGAATGTAAGGGATGATTCGAAATCGTGGTAGACACCCTGTATAAAGGGAGCAGGCAGAGAGAGAAAGACTCGAGGGGAAAAGTCGAACAGAGCGTCGTTAATAATTGAACTCGAGTTAATTATGGTCAGGACGAGCGTGTTGGTCGCCTTAGTCTTGGCGGTCTCATCGAACGATCCAAACCGCTAATGGGACGGATGTGGATGAAAAATTATCTCCGGTTATAATGCACGCGTCCTAGTTTTTCGCAATTACCTCGGCATTCAAGGCACCGTGGGGAGACATCGCGGTGCTGGTCCTGGGACAGCCACGAAGGGATCACTCGTAGGCTGGTCGGCGTTGAAATTTATCCGCTGATTAAACGTTTGATCGCGAGGCAAACCGTTACACGCAATTCCATTAGAACAGGCAACACGGTTGATTTCTAACGCGGTCGCCGGAATAAACTGATTCATACGATTACCGTACCTGTCCTGTTATTCCATTACACGAAGCTTAACTATTTATGCGGAGGATCAAAGCCGATCGTTCGACAAGAAATGTAGGGCAAACTTGTGCGAACGAAATGCAGCAGATTTCATTCATCCATCGGCTTTACAGAACAACAATTTCATCGCTCACGTTGATTACTTGGAAAATTCAAGTTTATCAAATTTGAAAAGAATAAATATCTTGAGAAACCAGCTTACCCTGTATTTATTACAAAAAGGATGCAAATCTATGCTAATTATTCGAGGCACTATTTTTCAACGGTCGATTACATCGAAGCAGAAATAACGTAGAGCAACAGAGGACAAAGTCTTACGGTGGAGAGCTTATCGTGTAAAATGCAGGCGAATAAATCGCCGCGTTATCAGGGCTGACTGTCGATGGTCGGAGGGAAGTTATCGTCGGTGGGACGTTGCACCCTGTGCAACGTTCACGGAGGCGCGCTCGCGCGATAACGATGCAACAGATTCCCATCGATGACGCCAGAAGTACGTAATCGTGTCGGTTCGGCGAGCTCGAGCCGACCTCGCAGCTGATCGAGCCACAACTACGATGTTCCAGAGATTACGGGATACTCAATTAAGGGATTCGGTATCATAGAATTCGAGAGCTTCGGATTAAGGGCGCTTATCGCGAGAGTGTAACTTTGGATTATACTAGCGTCGCGTCCTGCGTACCGAATCCTATCTACTCGCCGCGACTCGTGTCGCATTCTAAACGCTGGACCTGATCATCGAATACGGCTAATTAGCGAAATCTTGAAGGAATCGGAGCTGCGAAAACAGCAGCTACGATTTCCTTTAGTTAACCTAAACGGGTATCTAATTGATAGAAATCGTCTTCTCCGTGTTCAAAGAATTTTAATAGGTCGCGTAACCCGATCGTATCGAACGGTAATCCAGTGGCGTATGATTTGCGTGTCCGTTAGCGTAATTAGTAATATCTGATTAACTAAACCGGAGCGGAATCGGATTAAGTGAAATCGTAACGCAAACCGCGGTGGCTCGTAAATCAGCTTATCCAGCTGCGACTTGTCCTTTATTCATTGTGTTTGCGCTTGTTTGCCGTTGCTCTCTGCATTTACTGTCTATTGCGTCGAAAGTAATAAATATCGCAAAACAAACTCGCATTCCCGATTTCGTTCGCGAATTTCCAAATCGTCCGAGGATCCGATCTAATTCGATTCACGTTGCCGAGAAATTGCTTTATTCCCGTACGTCAATCTTTCTTAAAGCAATCGCCTTAAACTACAGTTCAGACCGAAGATTTGGACCGGTTCGAAAGACTAAGCTACTTCGAACCATTAGAGTTTCTTTCCCTTTCTTGAAATCTTGTTTCATGTAGATTATAAACACGCTAGAACGTCAATCGTTTAAACCAACGAACTTTCGTCGAACTGCACATCCGTTCGATAGTTTACCGGAGCACGGTAGAACTTCAATTATCAGAACACGTCGAGGGACAATTCGGTTCGGATAGTTAGAATGTTCGGATAATAGGAGCTCAGTGAATTGCTCCTCTCTGAACAATCTCTAGATCGAGTATTAGAAGATTATACTTGGATAAGTGAATCCTAATATGCACTTTTACGAACACGGCGTTGCTTAACGATAAGTTTGATGGCAATAAAATGTCTAAACATCGAAAGACGGATGTGGATGGTTTGTAAAATATTAGTAAAATATGAAAAACTCACCGATCATCGTAGACGAAACCCGCTTGCAGGGTGTTGCAGTAGAGGGCCGTGGCGACGAGGGCGCAGGCTACGGCTAGGATATCCATGTCACATCGTGGCGAGGACGGTGGCGGCGGCAGCGATGTCGACGGTAGCGGCGGCGGCCTCTTAACTTGTTGCACGTCCGCGGGCCTTCCTCCTCCACCACCTCCACAGCCCCTCCTTCTCCACCTCCTGGCTCCAGCAGCTCGCCGTACGGCGGTCGAGACGTCCGCTGGACGGTCCAGCGACCGCCGCTCTGACGTCTGTCCGGATGTATCTCGTCCGGGACGAATGTCGCTGGCACGTCGCGAGAAACGAGCCAGTAATCAAGCCGAAGCTTCGTCGAGCGTGACGCACGACGTCGAACGAACGATTGGACCGAATGGTCGCGGACGACACTACTTCTATTCCTCGAAGATGACGCGAGAACGCGCACCGATCCCGTGGCGTGTTTGTTTCTGGGTCGTCGCGAGGTCAGACCTCGACATCCGTGCTACAGGCGTTGGATCTTTCGCAGATCCGTCCGTGAATTTTACTTGGTACCGCGCAGCTTCCTTCTTGCAACTTCCTCCGGTAGACTGAATCCAGGAGAAGCTTCCGAATCGCGACACTTATCCGAAACGATTTCACTCCTCGATCTCCTTCCGTTCCCCTTTCGAATCACCAACGAATACGCGCGCGGTCACTTAATAGCGGGCGACGAGTAAACAACGTCTGATTCATTCAAAGGCAGAGCTCGTACTGACGAGCTCGTCCTGTTCCTACGAATCCCGAGATTTATTATTGTCGTCGTTTCGAAACAAAGATCAACGCGAGTGCTGTTCGTCGATCTAAGCGATTAAGCAGACCGGTCCTCGACTGAATCGATGTTTATCCTCGAGCTAGTTATTAAGAAGCAAAGGACTCGATGAAACGATGAAAACGGTGAAAACGGTGGACACGGTGTACCCGCGACGCGGCGCATGTTCCGAATGCGGAACGCCAACTGTCGCGCGCCCCCCGAGGACGAGCGCTTTATACGAGAGGGAGACGGGCATCGATCGGATGGGCGCTTGCGCTTGCCCGCTCCTCTGCTCTTCCTCTACCCTCTTCCACCTCATCCTCCTCCGATCTGCTTCCTGGTCCTCCTTCGTTTCATCTCTTCTCCTCCCGCGACATAGCAAACTCTACGACCTGCCGCGACCAGCGCCGCGACCACGACCACGACCGCGACCAACTGGACTGGATTAACCGCAACCCCGGCGACGCTGTTGGCCGATGGCTGCCCTTTTGGATAATGACGCCACCTTTTCTATACGCGTCGTTTTGCAATCTTCTCGAGCCGTGAACTTCTTATCGTGGCAACAGCTCGCTGCTGGACGAACAGCTGAAAGAATAATGATATTTTGTATCGCGCCGCTAGATGGTCCGAGATGAATACTAATTCCACAGCGAATCGAGGGAAAGGGAATGGAAGATTATGAAACGTGGAGAAACGGGAAAGATGGATGGTTGAAAGCTGGAGAAAAAAGACGAGTGGAGACAACAGGTGTTAAAGGGATTCAGAGGTTTCTTTCCCGAGGTATACACCGCTCGGTTGTATATCCACGATATTAAATAGGGTTGCTGCGGCTTGTAATGCTGTCCGTCAGTGTTACCGTTTCAGTCCCGTGCTCGCTCAAATTACCACGATTAATCACTATAGTCGCGGATAATTAATTGCGCGCAAGGGGCTGCGTGAAGCGTACATTCGTCACGAGTATTGTTTTAACTGTGCCAGTTACGGCCGTTGATAGTATACTTAGCAGTGTCGAGCGCCACCACCCTCCGCGAACCAAAAGACATTCTCGCGGAGTTTCCAATTAACCAAATGAATGGCCCCTAAACATCGCCCTTTTCTACGTATCCCTTTCCTTCTATCCAGACAGTACAAGTACTCCACAAATAATTTTCCACCGTTTTTCTTTCAGTAATTTCATTTAATCTCTTTCGAAAATTACTGCTTTTCTTCCATTTGAATGTATGTAACCGATTGACCCAGTTTCATTGAAAACTATGAGCTTTTCCAAATCAAATCTTGTCCGTTTTGCGCGTATCACAAATTCAATTATTTCATGTTTTCCCTCTTTCTGTGATATTTTCGCAACGATCGTGGATGGAAAGCATCGGACCAGAGGGGTAGTTGATTTTCAAACGTTCGTTCAGCGAAAACAAGCAAATTAAAGCGTCAGGTTGTTCAATCGATTCGCGATTAATATTAAACAGGTGTAGACGTCGCAACGAACCGTAAAAAAAGAGAAGAATGTACGATCAGGAGAGAAACTATAATCGAGCCGACCGCCACTTATTTCGGCGTCCCATAAAGCACGTGGACCTCGCGGAGTAACGAGAGGCGATCGAACGTCAGCGGAAAGGCCGGGACGAAGCACGGGTAAACAATTCCGCGCACGGAACGAACACTGGGGCCGATTATATACGAGAGGAAAGGGTCGAACCCGTGGGACGACGTATATTACGCTGCACGTAACACATCGATCCGTACGAACCCTTTGCAGCCTGACCTTTGCACACCTTCTTCTGTTTCCTCGTCTCTCTGATCCACCGAAAGGATTCAACGGCGATGCAGGCAGTGAAAAGAAAATCGAGTTCTTTCTAATTTCTTTGAAAATATCATTGAACTCAGCATTATCGATACATAATACTCAGAATAGAATTCTATGCACCGAAGGTAATAGACGACGCGTGTCGCGTAACAAGCGTCGAACGGGTCGTTTTCGGTCGCTCGAAGCGGGTTACAGTTTGGAGCGCGCGTGCGGATGGCGCATGCCCGGCGATTAGTTCGCACGATAATTCGCAACGAGGCGCGTATAACCGGGCTTGTCCGGGAGGATCGCGTGGTCACCGGTCATCGTATCTCTACCCTTCTTCCCCCGCCGACACGCTGATGTCCAAGCGACCAACATCGGTCGCCGGGAACGGCACGGAGGCGCGGGAGGGTTCGCATTAGCCCATTATCTTAATCTGCCAGCGCGTGGGACAAATAACAGGCTAGCCAGGCCGCACACATCCCGCCGACCCTTCGCCGCCACTCTGCACCTAACCCTGTCACGGTGCCGTACGCTCTGGCGTGCCCTACACCGATTTACACGCTCGCCTCGCTTATATTACGGCTACCGGAAAGTAATATTTTTTTTCCAAAGAAAGAAACGCTTCTCTCCCCCCATCGCCGCGGAACACTCGTTATCTAATTGATTACGCGATCGTTGTCGCGATTTTGTACGCGTGTTCGCGTCGATACCGAGCTTGTTGCGAGTGGCGAGGAAGTTAAGAATTATCGTGACTCTTGCTACCCCAGCACTAATTCCTCGCAATTTTATAAAATCGACGTAGCGACGAGAAAAGTTGTGCGCACCCCTCGTCAGATTCGAAATTACCCCCTCGAGCCCGATTCGTGCTGTTGTCTCCAGGGGATAACGCGCCCCAATGGATCGACGAAATTGTTGTAACCACCGGTGGTGGCCATTTGGGGCATCAACGATATGGGGAGTTTATACCGCGTGAATGGGTGTTTAATTGGAACAGTAGCTTTGTTCGGTGGTCAGACATGCAAGGTAGCTGTGTTAATCTACGACACTCCCATTCGTTCTTAACTTACTCTTTGGAACAGAAAGCATGTTTTCGACTTTTTTTTTTCCACGGACAATCGAAAGAGTGTAACCATGGAAAAACTATGACGGTAGGGGATCCGGCTATAAAAAACGAAACATACGTTCCCACTTAAGGGAACAAGGGTCGTCCACTTGGACAGATTTCGTTCGATCCCTCTTCGAGAACCCCATGCGAATACGCTATACGACGCGTTTGTTTCATAGTAGACGATAATATCGGTATAAATCGAGCGTTTCGCGTGGCAGCAGACTAGGTGGCCGATTCGTTCGTAATCGGCTACGCGGTTTCTCAATTATTTGCAGCCGCGTTGGAAATTGAACGTCATTTGATTTCGCTGGGAGGAAATTAATCCTGATGCGGCTGGGACGGATCGTACGCGTTCGAACGTAATCTGGGTTACGCTCTGTGGAGAAAGGAAATAGATGACGAAGCTGGGGAGGAAATAATGACTGGAAAAATGGAAGAAAAACCTGTTACTTCGTCCAGTTACTTTTTAAACATCGAACGAAATTTCTTCACCGAAGAATTTCGTCCGTTGAAAATTTCAGAAATAATCACGGTGATGTAAATAAAGTGATTGTAAGAAAGCAAAGTGCAGATATGTTATGTACGTTCCTCTGTTAGAAACAATTTTGTGTAACCAAAGGATTCGTTAGCTCGTGAAAAAGCTTGTTCGTACCTATCGATATCGCTCGTTACTCGGTTATTCGATGCCTCTTCGGTTCAAAATAGAAAAAAAATTCAGAACACGGTAAAATAGCAGATAGAGAAATACATACGTGGTAGGAATTTAGCCGGGTGGTGATAGAATTTGACGTGAAAATTCCAAAGAACAATGGAAACATCGAAATTTCAGAAACAGCGTTCTACGAAGTTCGACGTACGCGGTGGGTGTAAATGATATTATCAATCTGCCGTCGAACGGAATACTCGTCTTCGTAACAGGAATTATAACTGCGTTTCCATGGTTGACGGTATTATATAGGTGTTCGCGGACAGCGTTTTAATCGGCGAATTGGTCGACGAGGGGAGAAAAAAATTTCCCGGTAACTGGTATGAACGGTGGTGATTATCGATCGACAGGCGCATTTTCGACGCCGGTAGGTAGCAGCGGAATGGGATGGGCTGGTTCGTTCGCTATCGAAACTGACGCCGCGTTACCGAGATTTTTCCGATATCCGCGCCGCGGGCTGTGCGAGCGCGGAAAATTCAACGCCATTATTCGAGCACGCTGTTCCCGGAACGAGCTGCAGGACCGTGTGTACGCGTACGATAGCCCCCCCACCCGCGTTGTAACGACAAGCTGAATGTTGTTAACAACTGGTATCAAGAGTAGGTTCAACACGGCGCCGGCAAAATCTACGAGGCTTTGTCGGTGACACGATAGCACGAGCTTGCACGTGGACCGCAAGAGATCCGGTTCCTGAACCAGCGCAGAGACGACCCGGGCCGTACCGGAAGAGGGCACGTACCATCGAGCGCGTCGAAATCGACAACGGAACTTGATTTATCGTTTCCGAGTCGACGGGGCCGACAGGTGTTTCGAAAATACGTGCCTGGACACACGACTGCGGCCCTAGAGGATTTGCGCGACGTCGGTTCTCGACATTTTCTAAATCGCATCGAGCTTCCTGATGTCGAGACATCGTCTTGTAATCGCTCCTTCTTTCACCGTATTTACTTTAACCTGTCTACCAAGATACTCGACGGAGAAATGATCGATCTACAAGGAACACAGTTACGAACGATCTGGTTTTGATTTGAATGGTGAGTTTGCAATGCTATCGATAAATGCCGCAAGAAACTTATATCGTCATATTACTCCGCGAGATTACCCTGGATACCTGTCCCCGATCTACGCCAACGCAAATGGCTCGAATACAAATCGGAAATACGAGATGAAAATATCAGGTTCGAAACGAAGCGGTGGCTGGTGGTGGTTAGGCGAGATGTTGTCGGATGGGGGTGCGGGAATCGCGAGCGAACCGGAGTCGCTCGTTTGTTCCGTTTTCCTCGGTGGTGGTCGTAGCGAAGAACCGGGTTCTCGTCGAGTCACGATCGACGTTGCCCCTTCTTCGCGAACGAAGAATAGCCGAAGGCGTTTGTTCGTCGAACACCGCGGGAAGGGCCAACGACCCCGAACGAGCGGCGATGAGTGTGCGGAAAATCGCGATGAAATATCGGGTTCGCTTGGAAAGAGGGTAGGCGGGTCTTTGTGCGTCCGAATATAACGACGACGATGGAGAAAGCGTGAAAAGGAGCATCCGCGAACCGGGATTTTAACCGCTCCTCTCGTCTCGATTATATTCGTTCCGGTACCACCCCGTCGAATTTCCTCGATCGGCTAATATAGTCGCTCGATCCGACAACGATGTCGTCCGACATTTCCTCGTGTCTAATAAAAACGCTGCACGTTTAATACAAGCAGAGAATAATTCATAATTGACTTACAAGGATTATTAAGAGAACAAACGATACGATTCGTGTCACTCTTGAATGTCGTACATATTTTACTGCACAGAAATAGAGCAAGAACAATAGCGTGTGAATGAAAGAGATCTACCCCTGCAGAGTTCCATTTCTATCCTGAAGGGTTTCTATCCTAGGATGACAAGGTTTCGCACAAACGCTTGGTTGTTTTTAAAAAGCCTTCGTGGAAGCTGAATGCGTCGATTGGAGAATACATCGACGCGCGATAAAACGACAGAAATCCTCTCG